GTCAGGAAACATTCACAGGGAAGATAGCGATTGAAAATCTCAGGTAAGCGTTGCTTTTCATTGTTGTTTTACTGAAAAATGTTGTTCACTCCTATACAAACGCCATTTTTAACTACGTTTTGGACAGTTAACTATACCCTAAAGCATAGGGCACACTACTTTTTAACTACTTTATAACTGCAGTTAAGGCTAACTACACTTTTATACAACCGGCTTAACTACGTGATTAAAGTTAACTATTTTTTAAGGCTTTTTAACTACTTTTTAACTGCAGTTAGCGCTAACTATGTTTTTATACAACCGGCCCCGGATTGTTGCCGAGTTTTTTTTAATACAATCATATAATTTTTTAGTTATATATTGCTTGTAGTTAGTCTATGTTGTAAGTAAAATATGCCACGAAAGAAAGTGGGGTCACCGTGCTTCTTTCGTGACTACACAATCCAACCATGCAATAGGCTATTTTAGAGTGAATTTCGTAAGCATGTGTTGCCATAGTAACGAAACCCCACAGACCCAAAAAGGGACTGTGGCACAGTCTAGACCTGCGACCATTAGCTGACTAGCGGGATCGATCCCCAGCAACAGCCAACGAGCGCTTTTGTTTCGGAAATTAAAATAAATCTCTTTCCCGACCGTCCGTCACTCGGCCCGTCCGTCTGCCTATCTTATTTTTCCTTATTATTATTATTTTCTTTATTTGTTGCCATATTTCTTTGTTTAGATAAATGTACCACGGCGTCGGACTCCCAATTCAAAGATTTTAACGATGTTCTTTTGCTGACAGTGGACGACACGGAGTTTAACGAAGCGCAAAAAATATTAGAGAATGTCGAAATACCAAGCAAGAAAGACGAAAGTGACAAAAACCGTTGCTTTGGAAAAATTGGAAGAAATAAAGTTACGCTCTTGAAAGTTCCATACTTCGGCAAGACCGGCGCTTCGTCAGGTCATGACGTTCTGGTTTATGAAACAATCCAAGAAGTTAAACCGAAAGCTATTGTTAGTCTGGGAGTTTGCGATGGTGTAAGGGAAGAAGAACATTTCCTTGGTGATGTCGTGGTGTCGTCACAAGTTTGCTTTCTTGAGCAACAGGATGATGGTTTGTCAAATTTTGATCGTACAACGTATGACTGCAATTTGGGATTGGTGCATTTGTTCGACCGTGGGAAATTTGCGTGGGTTGGTCCTTGTGAAAATGTGGTAGTTCCAAAAGTCCATGTTGGTC